CCTCCTGTGCATGTTTAACCTCTGCTAATTCATGCTAGCATAAGTATCCCCTTGAGATAGATAACTAAGTCTGTTCTACCCTGCCTTGTTACATGATCAGTCTTACCCTCCCTCGTGTTTATACCGTCATCAGATGCTCGTCAAACTTCCATAATTATTTATCTTTTCTTCAATTTACCGAGAATCTGTTTTCCTTTGTTATCTTCTCTTACTTCCTCCTATCCCTTCTTCCTGCTGCTTCCACCCACCACCTTCTTCCTCCACCCACCTCCTCCCGCCTCCCCCACCACCTTCTGCCTCCACCCACCACCATCTGTCTCCACCCAGCCCCTCCTCTTGCTTCCATCCAGCCCTTCCTCTCGACTCCACCCAGCCCTTCGTCCTGCCTCCACCCACCCTTTCTTCTTGCCTACACACACTCCTCTTTGCCTCCACCCACTCCTTCTTCTTACCTACACCCACCCCTTCTTCCTGCCTCCACCCACAACCTTCTCCCCCCTCCACCCACCCTTCCTACCCCTACCCTTCCTCTTACCTCCATCTACCCTTTATCCAGCTTCCCCACTACCTCCTTCCTCCACTCCACCCACCTCCTCGTCCTCCCTCCACCTACCACCTCCCCCTACTCCACCCTTCTCCTCGTTCTCCCTCCACCATCCACCCATCTTCTCCTCCCTCCACCCACCTCCTTGCCTTCCCTCCACCCTCCACTCATCTCATCCTCCCTCCATCCACCTCCTCTTCCTCCCTCCACCCGCCTCCGCGTTCACCCTCCACCCATATCTTCGTTCTCTCTCCACCCACTACCTCCTCCACCCTCCACCCATCTCCTCCTTCCTCCACCCACATCCTCCTCTTCTCTCCACCCATCACTTCCTCCTCCCTCCACTGAACTATCTCATTCCTCTCTCTCTCTATCCTGTCTTCCTACTCCTCATTTTCTATTTTTCTGCCTCCCTCTTCTCCATTTCTACTCTTTACCATCCTTTCTCCTCATTTCCTAATCTTCCTGCTCGTTTTTTTCTCTTTCTCCTCCCCCTTCTCATTATTTACTCTTCCTCTTCCCTCCTCCTATTTCTCCCCTCCTCTTCTTTTACCTCCTATACTTAATAATCTGACCGTGTTTTTTATTTCTTAACCTCTCAAGTACGATCACTTAACCTCTTGAATACGATCTTTTAACCTCTTGAGTATGTTAAGTTAACCCCTTTAGTAAGATAATTCAACCTCTTTAGTACATTAATTTAATTCATTGAGTATGATAATTTAAACCCTTTTGTACGATAACTTAATTCTTTAGTGCGATTGTCAAGGGTTTAGATGTTAATGCCGTCTGGTTCTTCGAAAGATCAGGTGGACACTTTTGCTTTCACCAAGGATATTGAACAAGATTATTGACATTTGTGACCAAAAGTCTATATACAAGTATTTACACTGATCGGCCTGGAGACAGTACAGAGCAACATAAACCTATGTGGTATGGAAGTGCCGGACTGCCGGTCGGAACAATTGTCGGGAGTGTAGACACTGGATGTGAAGCGTGGGGTCTTGTATATACACACGCCACAAGTGGTAAATAAGGGTCTTCTCATCAACAAAGGCACAGGAGTATCCTCTTAACCGACATAGTTACTTGATAATGGACCCGGGAAGAACAGCACATGCTATTATAATTGCACAATTTATACACACTAAGTTGTACATACTTAGTAATTAACAAACCGATTGCACAAAACACCCTTAAAACACAAATAAAACCAAAGAAACCATAAACCAAAAACGATAATAAATAATATGGAATACTCACGGGTAGCAGACGACCAACTGGGTCAGAGGAAGGGAGCCAAGTGACCAGCCGTACGGTTATACCCCGCACTATGACTCGGTTCGGACTACCCATGAGCAACACCTGCTTCAGACACAGAGAACAATCCCAACACTGAACAACACAGTTCAAAAAAATCATTGGACTGGAATATAAATCCCTTACAGGGATGACTTCACCCCTTGAGTATAATAACTTACATATTAAGTATGATGACTTTAACCCCTTGAGTATAATAACTTAAATATTAAGTATAATGGCTTAACCCCCTTAGTATTGTTATGCCTTGTATTGCAATGTTGCAGGGGGCCAAATGGCACACAGAATTACTAAAGATGCTTAAGAGTCCAGTTGAAATTCGATAAGGCCCTTATTAAGTTCAGCTTTGGTTCAGGGTCTAGTGAAAGTATACAACATTTTAATAGTTTAATGGCTAATATATATATATATTAAAATATAAAATATGGATATGAAATTGCTTAACTTAACTTAATATAACATTACTTTTAAGTTTCAGGGAGTATAGGTAACAAACAATAAATGGATCAGTTTCATTGACTGCTTCAAAAAGAGGGTTAGGGTTCACGTTTAAGATTTAACATTACACATAATGAATTAAAGTTATTTATTGTGAATAATAATGTCAGTGTGGCACTTTGCATGACAAATAATCAATTAATATAAACTCAACTCGTGTACAGTACAGTACATCATAATCTGGATATTGAACATTCAAAGTTCCTGGTTCAACTCTTCAAACAAAACTACAGTCACAACAATCTAATACATAAATTCTCAATACACATATATAACACAATTACGCAACCAATGGTCACCTAATCTAATCACCAGAGTATTACTGATATACAAAACCTGAGTATGTGGTCCGCAAGTTTAACAAATGTACAGTATGTCTGCCTTCATGGAAATCCGGACCGTGCCTGACTCCTCACCGGCAGCCCCACTGAGAGATCCCAACCCTACCATTATTTAGTGTGAAACTTAATTTGGCTCGTCCTCTACACAAGTCTCAACTATTTTTAACACATTTATCTTAATACATCACATTACGTAGATCATCATACAGCAACAATATCAGAAACAATAACATAATATAGCAACAACATCAGATGCAATATAATTTTAAATCAGTACACTTTATATTCAAAACAATAAAAAACGCTGACATTAAACTCATCCACTCAACTACTTGTAACAATATGATGATTTAACCCTTTGAGTACGAAGTTAAATCTTCAGCAAGATGGCTTAACCCCTGAAGTATGATGATAATCCCTTGAGTATACAGGTAATTGAATTGAAGCAGTTTATTTAGCCAGAAAAACACAGATACAGAGTGGATAATAATAACAATATTAACATGGCTGAGCCAGTTGAGATCTTGAGGTCTCTTTTAGGCACCTGATATATACTATACATTTATCTCAAGGAAGTATTATGTAACATTTAGTAACATCTGGAATAGTACAATAGCATGGTGGTAATAAGAACATCTCATAATGTTACCACGGTTATCACTTCAATATTTATTTATTTTATTTATTTTTTTTTAGTTTATTATTTATTTATTTATTTATATATACATAAATTACAGTGGAATTGAAAAACATAAATATAATGGGGGAGCAGTACAACATGGGGTGTACAGTATTAAGGTTGAATATGAGGACAGAGCTGTCAGGATTATGTCTAGTTGGCAAATACATTTATTGCAATGGTAATTTCTTACCTATTTACATGATAATTTCCGATAAAACGGTTTTGATGGTACAATAAAAGCAGGTACTGTAAATATAGTAGGTGTTACAAGAAATATTAATACTTAGACAATAGATATTTGTTAAGAGATGATTTAAAGGCAGGGAGCGTAGTCTTTGCTTAGATGGGTGGGGGTAAGTTGTTCCACACCTCCACACCATGATATTTTATGGAGGTCTGGGACTGAGAGGAGCGCATGGGGGGTTGGTCTTAGTAGCTCTGGGTGCCTTAAGTTGTATCTCTGATTATTCCGGAACTGGAAATAATTATTGTCAAGCAAGTGATTGATAGATCTGTAAACAAGAGGGCACAGCAGTAGGTGTTAATATCTTCGAATTTTAACATTTTCAATTTAATTTTTTTTTTAGTTAGTGTGATCTGTTTTTTTTTTCAAGTAGGTCATTGTCCGTACAACTCTCTTTGGACAGTAACCAGGGATTGTGTTTTTGAAGAGCCAGAGGCCCCCATAGTGTGTGACAGTGTATCAGGTGTTGGTAAACAAGATCATGATAGATTTCTTTCATTGCTGTGAGAGTGAGTGACTGTCGAGTGTGATACATGATACTGCACTGTTTATTGACTTTACTGTGAATGGCTTGTATGTGGTTTCTCCAGTTAAGTTTCTCATCAACAATAACTCCGAGGAATTTAGTATTTTGTTCGCGTTTGAGGACTGTATTACCAAGGTACAGGGGGTCCAAGTCTGGGGGTAAGTTTTTCCTTCTGTGAAAGATCGTGTAGTGGGTTTTCTCAAGGTTTAAGGTCAGTTTATTACGTATTACCCAGGTCCCGACTTTAGTCAATTCAGTGTTCATAGTTCTCATCAAGGAATGGAGGTCTGAGTTGCTGGCATAGAGATTACTATCGTCTGCAAATAAGTTGTATTTTATGAGTGTGCTGGCGTGGACTATGTCGTTTATGTACAACAAAAACAGTACTGGACCGAGAATGGAACCTTGGGGGACGCCATACAAGATTGGCGAGGAGTCAGATTGGTGTTATTATAGCAGACATACTGCATCCTGTTGGACAGATATGAGGTAAACCAATTGTGGGACAAGCCCCTAACGCCGTAATGTTCAAGCTTTGAAAGGAGGATGGTATGGTCGACAGTTTCGAAGGCTTTAGAGAGGTTCAAGAATATTCCGACTGTGGACTGACTCTCATCAAAGGAATTTAAGATGTCATTAGTAAAGGATAGCAGAGCACTCTCAGTCGACCTTCTAGCTCTAAATCCAAACTGGGAGTCTGTAAAGATGTTATTGGCATTGCAGAAGGAATTTTGTCTACTACATGCTAGCTTCTCCAGTATCTTACTCAAGGCCGAGAGGACTAGTATGGGGTGGTAATTCTTGAAGAACCCTTTGTCCCCAGATTTTTTATATGCTGGGTGAAC